CTCTGGGGAATATTTAATCCCAAATGCTTACCCAAAATTAGGTTTGAAAAATTAATAGACTATAAGCAAACAGTGTTCAACAGATGTAAAAGGAAAAATTGATCCTAAAACATAAAACAGACCCTACAATTTGTTGTGTGCTCTGCAATTTCATTATTGGTTTTGGAGTCTGGTATGAATGTTTATTTTTATAGATAGACAATTTTATATTTCATTTTTACATGGAATCGTTTTCATGACATATGGTACCTTCTCTTCCGGCAAGGTGACGATATTGATATGGTTCAAATTTGCAGGCATAAATTCTAAGAGCTTATGATTTAAGCATAATTTTCCTTTAGGCAAATACTTGATAAAATCTCTTTACGGTACCAATAATTGGTTAACAACATCAGTCTGTATTGTGCTCTCATGGATATTTGACATTGATCAGCCCCCATTAAATTTTTATTATTATTTTTTTTAACTTTGTCATTTTAGGTTGTATATTTCATCAGAAGATGACAAATCACCCCGGCCTCACAAATTTGAAAGAACAAATCATCTGACAGTTTCTTAAAGTCCAACTTGTCTAATCTGACACAAGAGCAGTTATTGAGCTATTAAAACAATAACATGGAATAGGGATTCATAACTATGTACTTCTATGTCAGGTACACACCAATATCAAAGGCAGAGGAAAACATACAATTTTTAAAAATCCCTAATACCCAAAGGGCAGAAGTTGACAACCTGTTTTTTGTTTGTGCACAGTACTCTTTCAGGATATGGTCCTGACAACCACAAAACTATGAACTGAGTCAAAGTCAAACTTGTTGGTATGGAAACAGGAAACAAATTCATTTTCTTAAAATCAATAAATAGCAAAAGGCATCACTTCAGGATCTGTTTGATATATCTGCCAAGTTTTATTGATAGATATTGAGCAGTTTTTGAGTTCAGCCCCGAAATCAAAATCCACCCCAAGTCCAAATTGTTTCCAAGGAAATCGAGAAAGATACAAATGCAAAAATCTGTAAACAGCAAAAGGCACCACTTTATGTTCTGTTTGACATGCCTACCAACTTTTGTTGAAAAATACTGAACCGTTTTTGAGCTATGCTCCGGATGCGAAATGATGAAGGATGGACAAACAAGCCATTGACTGCATCCCCCCGCATTATATTCTGGGGGATATCTAGATGAATTATGGCTTGTCTGCTGTTTTATTTTTATAAAATATGTAATTTTGAACCGTTTCAACAGATATGACAATCCATTCATGAAAGAAATATTGAGGAACAAGAAATACTCCATAAGGCCACGATCATAAAGCCATTGATCCAAACAATTAAGCCAAGGGTAAACATTGGAGTCTGACATGAACTTAAGATGTATTTGGTTTGTACTTAAGATCAGCCAACTGTACATTAAGAATTACTTTGAAACACGTTTTTGCTGTTGAGCCAAAAGAATTCTAAAGATCCACTAAAGGACATCAATGTTATGACCTCATAGGTGCAAAACATTATGAATTTGTTTATTGACAAATGTTACGGTTAATAATTTGCCATGACAAAAGGTTTAAAAGTCCCCTTTGAAACAAATACTTTGAAAACAAATACTATTGCCATTGAACATATATGATGCGAGATGCAAGCCAAAACCCACACTCAAAACTTTAAACATTGACCCATAATAATTATCATTTAATCAATGTGATATTACAAATTACAAGAAACACACTCTCATAACACAAAACATGTGGCTGATGAACAAAGAAAGAATATAACGTCCCGAGATGTCAATGTGCGTTACAGTAGCTGTATCCTTAGTGGAGACTGACTTCATCACATGTAACACATGATTGTGTAACAGATGTAATTTTCACCATTGGAATCTGTTCTGTCAGTTAATAGAGATTGAGTATTCTCTGGTGTGGACATTGTTTTATTCAAGCTACGAAATACTGAGCCACCTCAATCAATCTGTCATCACACAATCCATCTTGTTTAGGGTTTATTATCCTGCACAGTTATCTAAATTTAAATTTCTCATCTCAAACTTCAAAATCTAGTCTGTAATCCTTTATAAACTTTGCTCAACAGTTACAGAGACAAGTATACAGATTCTATTTCTCCAAATCAGAATCAGTCTTTTAAGAAGCAGTTTTTGTTGGGAGCCTTCGGTGCACATTGAATCATCTGACAGCTGTCATTGGGTGGTTTTGTTTAAGGCTTTAAACTGACCATCTTTTTCAATATTTTGTGCTGTGTTTTTAAACATAATGACTTTTGTTGAATGTGACCACAGGTATTTTCCAGTGGGTGACATTTTGTGCGGATCTGTGGCTGGTCTGTTTAGTTTCCTGTTCACAGGAAAGGAGACTGGTTATGCTGGCCACTCTTTTGTGTTCTTATTGCTGCTTTCAAGCCAGATAATGCACACATGTACTGTAAAAACTGTTCATGGCTCAGATAATTTCTGACAAAATATAATGTGACAAAAGGAGTCAATGGTAATTTTTTTTCTGACCTTGTTTTTAATCAATCAAACTGTTTTTATTCAGTATAGACTAGTTGGTCACTAAAACATTCCCAGCAATGCGTCTCTCTGCGAACTGATATTCCGTATGAGCAGTTGTTACTTGCCATAACACAAAAATAGGGCTTTCGTAACCAATGGCTGTGAACTCTGCCCCGACTGGCAATCTAAAGTTATACTTGAGTGAGTGAGTGAGTGAGTGAGTGAGTGAGTGAGTGAGTGAGTGAGTGAGTGAGTGAGTGAGTGGAGTTTTACGCCGCACTCAGCAATATTCCAGCTATATGTCTGGACCATACAATCCAAAGATCAACAGCACGAGCCTCGAACTACACAATTGGGATACGATGACATGTGTCAACCAAGTCAGCGAGTCTGACCACCCAATCCTGTTTTTCACCTATTAGGCCAGGCATGGGTTACTGAAGATCAATTCTAACCCAGATCTTCAAAGGATACCTGTTTGAGTATCCAACTAGCTGGCACATGTATATGTTTCTTTATGTTGCGTAAATTGTTTGTCAACACAACAGTACCACAACAATGGATTTCAAAGTTAGCATCCTCATGGACAAATATGTTGGTTGGGTAGCTGAGTGGTTCAGTTCTTTGCTTGTCCTTCTGTAGACCCGCGTTTGCCTCCATCATGCATACAAAGTCTGAAGACTACTTCTGGAGTCCCCAGTAATGATATTGCTGGAATATTGCTGGAATATTGCAAAAAGCGGCATCAAACAATACTTACTCACTCATGAAATAATGACTGTATATCTCCCCACACTGTACCCAGCTGGTGTTTCTGCATGACAGGTGAACGCTTTAACCACCTGGCTTCCCCACCGCCTCACAAACCTTCCAAACATTCATTCAACATCGTAAATCCTCTTTACACACAACCAAACTCACAGTACCAACATCACAAACTATCCGATACGATTCATTTAGACAAAGTATTCTCAAGTATATACAGTGGCAAGATGGATCAATGCATCGATGAAGGCTTGGCAAATTCACTTCACTTCGGCCACTGAATGTTCATGAAAGTCGTGGGAAAGATCACACCATATTGGAGAAAGGATTTGGTGGAGTTCGTGCAGCATTGTTGGAGGAATTGGAGGATTTTGCTAATATACATCAGTTTATCATCAGATGAAAGAAATCTGTGTGCAGAAACATACTAGCAGTTAACACTGTAAAGGAAAGAAACAGTAGAAAAATGTGGATTTCCTGATAAGGCCAGACGGATGTTATTTCTTGTTTTACGGATTTTTGTCCTCAAAAAATCTAAAGGCAGGAGGGAAAAAAATATATATAAAATCACCAGTCAAAGTAATATTCCTTCTAAATGCTAAAAGTATTTTACTTTTGGCAATTTATGAAGTGTATCTAGGGCAAAAAACAATCTTAAAAAGATTTTCTTGTAAGTTTACATTTTTGGCCAATAAAAACATTAGGATTGTATTTTTGAGCAGGAAAATTAATTATTTTTTTCTTTCTTATTCTTGAAAACATACAAGGGTGGAACCCTAAAACAAGAAATAAAATTGGTCTGGCCAAATGTGAAACATAAGTTTGGTTATTTATGATTGAAAGACATTACATCAATTATTTGGGGGCATCATTCAATTGTATATAACAACAAATTGACTTAAAGTCACATTCGTAGTTAAGGGAGCAAACAATCAAAACGGTGAAACAATAGGTGTCAAAGCTGGACAGTGCATAAGTTCATTCTTTGCATTGGGAAAATTATAGTAATAATGACTGTTTGTTTTGTTGTTTAATGCCCCGCATATCAATATTCCAGCTATACGATGGTAGTTTGTAAAATAATCAAATTTGGACCAGATGATCTGGTGATTAATGCCATGTACATCAATTAAAGCAATTGTGATACTACCCATTCATGGAAACTGGCCACCTGATCCATCCTGTCATTGAAAATGACCAACCGATCCATTCTGTCATTGAAACTGACCAACCGATCCATTCTGTCATTGAAACTGACCAACCGATCCATTCTGTCATCGAAACTGACCAACCGATCCATTCTGTCATCGAAACTGACCAACCGATCCATTCTGTCATCGAAACTGACCAACCGATCCATTCTGTCATCGAAACTGTCAAACCGATCCATTCTGTCATCGAAACTGACCAACCGATCCACCCATCCACCCATTTTCATTCAGACCATGTATCAATTCTAATAATAATGAATAATTATGAATGGCAATAATTTCATCAGTAGAATATAAGGATATGCATCTTGTTCAGAAAACGTCAGGAAGCATGGTATATCATGTATAGTAGATTATAACAAGACACGAGTACATTTAGTCACTGTCTACAACAAGTATTATTCAAACCTGGGTTTGTGTTCTGCTGTTGCTTGAAACTGCAACAGCCATCATCCAAGGGTATCTCTAAAGATGGTTTCAACAGTTATGTGAACATAGATTACATTACAATGTATGTCCTCACACCTCTGTGACAACTTTGGGTGGATACTTCCAAGGGAGCTGAGAATTGTGACATGTGACATGATGAATCAGACAATAATATATTGTGCTATTTGAATTATGGTGCAAAATAACTGTGATATCATCACAGATAAATGACCTGAAAATAAAAAGACAGCTGAAACATGATCTTCCCGGAAATTCCTGAATCTTCTTCTCTTCAGAATCATACATACTGTAAGATGAAACTGTTCACTAGCAAAACAGACGGCACATATGTGTACATATTGGATATAACAATGTCATATGTTCACAAATGCCCTCAATATTTCAAATGAAAATGTCCGACTTACCAGGTAGGTAGTCTTGATGTCCTCTCGGTATCTCTTCTCAGAACCAGCCTTGACCTTCAGTTGACCTTCAGCTCCACCACTTCCCTCATCACCATCTTGTGTGCTGCTGTGAAAGAGACATGAAAACCATTAACAGATATCTCTATTGAGTATACAAACCCCATAAATGAAAGTTAATACTTCTGAAACAACAGCAAACTATCGTGCCACTAAAACTACAGTAACAACTAGCCAACACTCTAAGGCCACATATAAATAATTTCTTGTTTTTCATTACCGTCCGACCCTAAATTTAAAAAAAAAACTTGCACTGGTAAATTAGCGCACATGAAGCCGACATACTTCCGAAATCCATCATTCTAGGTTTTCGACGAACATATTACAGAAAATGAGAACAAACATAAATTAAAAAATTAAAATAAAATCCCCCCTGCCTACCCATTTAAAAAAAAGAAGGCATGAGAAACAAGAAAGTTATTTTATGTGGCCTAACCAGTGGGTTAATCTGACTTTTGGGGCAAACTGAATTTTTAACTATCTCAGTCAACCATTGAAAGAACCACTTCTTTGGTCCTTTGCAAATCGAGAGTTGTTTATATATTGAAAGAAAAAAATGTTTCATTCTGTGTCTCATAATCAGGAGAGACTTCTACTCATTGCAACACTGACCAATCCAAGGGACGGTGGGGTAGCCTAGTGGTTAAACCCTTCGCTTGTAACGCCAAAGGACTGGGTTTGATTTCCCCAAATGGGTAAAATGTGTGAAGCCCATTTCTGGTGACAACCACTGACTGACCAGTCCTACACAAAATTCGAATGCACATACAAAACTGTGGTGTCATAGAATTGAATATGCATCAGGAATTTTATATGTTCACACAGGTTTTAAGTCCTTTCTTCCACTTCTGTGGGGTCAACAACAGCTTAGGTTCTGGAGCTCACCATGCTCACCAAGATCACCCTGGTTTACCTTGTCCAGACTTCATCACGTACCAACTGATGCAAGAACTGGGATATTGCAGACTGATATTTGTAACCTTTGGTCACTCAATTGTTACAAAACCCATATCAAGATGAGTGAGTGAATTTAGTTTTATGCTGCTTTTAGCAATATTCCAGCAATATCACATCAGGGGACACCAGAAATGGCCACATTTTACCCATGTGGCGTGACGAGCGAACGTTTTAACCACTAGGCTACCCCTCCGCCCCCATATCAAGATGAGAAAGTTCCAGGAAAATAGAATTGACTTTAGTCACTATTATGTGTGATATATATTTTTGCTGGAATATTGCTAAAAGTTTTTACAGTTATATTGGTTCCATATAATATACTCCTGAAAAAAAAAGGGAACCTGAACTTTCAATTTGGATAGGAACTATAAGCGTTAACAAACTTTTTAAAGACAGACAGAACACACCACCATTTTTCTTTATCACCACCCCTAAACACAACGCATGGGATGCACGTGCACAATGCAGTAGCCCCATACATGTGCATGGAGTGTCATTCTTCATTTTGATGGTTTTCAAGAAGGTCGATAAATCACTGTAGACCATAAATTTTGACAATCATCTTGCATCATATACTTGTTAGTGTTTGTTTCTAACGGTTTTGTTTTTGTTTTTTAAAATGAAAATCGTACAGATGCAAATTTCATGTCATACAAAAAAATCATCTTTCAAGAGCAACAAATGTACAAACAACTATGGTCATAAGGAAGTGCAAGTGGTGATGCTCTCTCAAAATATTAACCGTCTCCGTGGTGTAGTGGTTAGAGCGTTTGATCCCCGAACGTGTCATACCAAAAGACATTAAAATATGGCACTTGTCGGTCCCTGCCTGGAGCTCGGCATTAATGGGTACAACAAGGACTGGTCGGCTCGAGTCAGTATAATGTGTCTGAGTGGGGTATTCATGCTTCACTGCGGCATGGTATCTCAGTGGGCCAGCACAGTAAAACCAGCTTAAGTCTGGGCTAGTACAATCAGCCGCACATGCACATACACACCCATACACGTCGTCGTATGAGCGAAATATTCTCAAGCACGACATTAAACCCAATTTCACCTCACCTCACCTCAAAATATTCATTATCATCATATAAACACTGATTGAGTCCGATATATCTCCCAAAATTTTTCATCGTAAATTAAAAATGTAGTTCCCCTACTTTCTTTAAAGAGTATATGAAGATGACTGTAACATTTGTATCAGTATTTGTGATAAACAATTCTTGTTCAACATGAGAATACGTAACATCATATCAGAGACATTTTAGCAGAAATATATTTCACTGGGCATCAAATTCACACTAGCTGGACTGACAACAGGCAAATGCTGAGTTTCTGAAATGAAAAGTATATCAGCTTCACTCAGGCATGCTACATTCAGGAAGAATGCGTAGTGGTAGTAACTGAGGTTTAACGACACTTTTAGAAATATTCCAGCAATACCCGGGGACACCAGACAAGGGCTTGACACTTTGTAACCATGTGGGGAATTGAACCTGGGTCTTTACCAGGATGAGCAAACATTTCAATCACAAGGCTGCCCTAGCACTGTGGTATGGGGAGATCACTAGTGGAAACAAGAGTCATCAGAAGATGACGTATCCCCCTGGCCCCCATATATTTGAAAGAACAAATCATCTGACAGTTACTTAAAGTCCAGCTTGATGTCTTTTTAGACTAAGTCCAAATCGTTTCCATGGAAATCATGAAAAATATAAATGCCAAAAATGTGTAAATAGCAAAAGGCACCACTTCAAGGTCTGACTTGAAAGATATTAAACGGTTTTCGAGTTGTGCTCCGGAAATGAAACCAATCCCTCATTTTTGAGACTAAGTCCAAAATGTTTCCATGGAAACCAATAAAAATAATAATGACAAAAACCTGCAAATAGCAAAAGGCACCACTTTAGGTTCTGTTTGATAAATCTACCACGTTTTGTTGAAAGATATTGAATGGTTTTCGAGTTGTGCTCCAAAAACAAAGGTCACCCTCATTTTGAGACATAGTTCAAATCGTTTCCATGGAAACCAAAAAAAAAAAAATGACAAAAATCTGTAAATAGCAAAAGGCACCACTTTAGGTTCTGTTTGATACATCGACCAATTTTTGTTGAAAAAATATAGAACGGTTTTTGAGTTATGCTCTGGAAACAAAATGATTACGGACGGACAGACGGACGAGCTGTCGACTATATCCCCCCGCATTACATGCTGAGGGGGATAATAATATGGTGCATGGACTGTGAGACTAGACCGGCAAGACCAGCTTTACAAACATGACAAAAAAAACATATCAAAATAAATATTCAAACAGAAATAAATCTTAAAAAATCCATCGATAAAAATGTCTGGCCTGAGAAAAGGAACAGATCTCATTGAAAACCACTTAACAATCAAGTCAAGAAAACCCACCTAGGAGTTGCAAATATTGCCAAACAACTCAAGGATGGAAAATGAATATTTAATCCATGTTTTAGGTTTCACAAAGATCGATTAATGTTGTCTACAAAGACAAGTCTATTTCCTATTTTCATTGTATATCTGCGACTGAAGATTTATTTTAAATGAGAGTGATGCTCTTGAGATATGGGATAGATAGCGGAAGTCTCAAGTGTCTACAGGCAGTCATTAGGAAACCTGTTAACTGGAACGTGTCTTCATTCAGTCAGTCCAATACTGATATCACCCATAAATAATATAGTTAAATGTCAATATAGCTAGAATAAGGAAGTGTTTCCTTGAATAAAGGATGTCTGTGTGGTATGCTTTGATGATAACTATGCTACTTCCTCAGCCTTGTTTGTTCTGTTCTTCACCGTCTCCGTGGTGTAGTGGCTAAAGCATCCGCCTGGAGAGCGGAAGGTCATGGGTTCGACCCCCGACCGCGTCATACCAAGAGACGTTACAATATGGTACTTGTTGGTCCCTGCCTGGCGCTCGGCATTAATGGGTACAACAAGGACTGGTCGGCTCGGGGTCAGTATAATGTGTCTGAGTAGGGTATTCATGCTTAACTGTGGCATGGTATCTCAGTGAGCTAGCACTATAAAACCAGCTTAAGTCTGGGCTAGTACAATCAGCCACACATACACACAAATGCACGTCATCATACAAGCAAAATATTCTTCAGTACAACATTAAACCCCATTTCAGTGTGTTGTGTTCTTCAACAGTTTTTAAAGTAAGTCAAAGACCTAAGTATTGGTATTAAGACACAGAGCGTACGCAAAACAAAGACATCCTGTTCCATTATGAGAAGATCACTTATTTGGACAAAGTTTGTGGTATAGCCCAAAGTTCTAAAAGAAGGAATCACTGCATTGTAACTTCCTTGTATTAAATCCCAGTACAAACCTTCACAGACCAGCACTTACTACATAGTCCTCGTCACAGATAAGTGATGATCTTCCAAGATCAGTGCCATTGGGTTCAAGCCTTCACTGAATCAGCCTGGTCACAGATAAGGGAAGATCTTCCCAGATAATAGTGAGTGAGTGAGTTTTGATTTTACGCCGCTTTTAGCAATATTCCAGCAATATCACGGCGGAGGACACCAGAAATGGGCTTCACACATTTTGCCCATGTGGGGAATTGAACCCGGGTGAGACGAAGCCAACGCTTTAACCACTAGGCTACCCCACCGCCCCCTCCCAGATAATACCTGCTGCTAATCTCAATGACCTTGAGCTTATGATAATGACCTCGACCTCTTATGACAATGACCTTGAACCCTTATGACAATATTTTGGTCAAGTAAATATGTCAAAACGACTCCCTTCATATAATAATGTGGGCTTCGCTGCGACCAAAGCTTTCTAAACACTGCTTCGCTGCACAAAGCTTTCTAAACACTAAGGTGACGATTATACCTACAAATGTTCAATGCTTTGTGGTTTCAGAAACAATGCAAGTTCTAAGAAAACAGTCAGCATCAGTGAGTCTGGTTAATTATGAAAGAATCTCCACAGAGGTTGGTAGTCTGTTTAAATGCACACTGTGATCATGTGCACTTGATCCTTTGAACATCCCCAGCAATGAAGATGTTTTCGGTTTGTAATGGTTCTCTGTTTCATGTGCAAATAATTCTTTGGG